ATGCTTTAACTTGTCCTTGTCATCAATATGATTATATTGGTCGATGTCAATTACCTTTTCGAGAACGAATAATGAGTAAGTTATCTTTGGCCAGATAAAAATGAAAACTAAACAAATAGATTGTATTTATATATTGACTCTAGAACATCGTCTATATAATGGTCGTATTATTAGTAATTTCTTTATTGGTCAAACCGTAGCTGATCGTCTTCGAGATGAATATGAGGATCAGTAAGTACTCATTTCTATATTCATAATATACAATTAACTGACATTGATTTAGAACGATATCTGAATCACATACAAAACTTTATCAACATTCAATTCAATGTCTTGCAACTATAGAAATGTTTTTGACATGTCATCCTCGTTATTGGTGTTTTGTTCCTATGACTAGAGAACAGGCCATTATAGATGATATGAATTTAACTTCTACAGAAAGAAATCTTTTGGCCGAATATCAAATGTCTCATTCAGAATATAATACCCACGAAACAAGCACAAATTCATTTCAACGAAGTGATAATAATGCAAGTTGGTGTATGAATAATATACCATCGCCTCCCTCCAACTATCAATTTTCATTACGACAAAAACTTGATCAATGGAATTTTTTTCAAAATCGGTCAGATATATTTACATCACGATACATTAATCTATACAATCCAACAATTGTTATCGCTTGTAAGTGATTGTATATCAATGATAATGAACTAAATTATCTTTGAAAACTACTATTTTTATTTCAGTATCTGAAAGTGCTTCAGATGAGATGCGTCACCTCATACAAGCTTTATTAGTGACTCATGCCGAACCGAAATTAAATAGAACCATCAATGATTCATTATTGACTTCTGCTAACTCTAATAATAATAATAATTGGTATCAACATTTAATACATCCTCGTCTACGTTTATCATAACTTTAATTCTCTCACTCAAAAATAATCATATCTATTCGATTTTATATAGTTTGTCATGTATTTCTATGTCTTAATTAAAAAACAAATTGTCTTATATGTATATATATCCTTCTCTATTTCAGATATAATCTTGATAAACAAAAATATAAATCCTAAATATTGCAATATGAATTTGAATACTATTGATTTAAATCAAGCAGAAAAAGCAGTTGCTTCATTTACTACTGATGATAATGAACAGAAATATCAACCAATAACATTGGATCTAAATAATGAAGTACGTCGTAATTATTTACCTTTATTTCCAACCATCGCTTTTAGTCGAAATAATTATCTACTCTTAGCTAATGTACCAGGTTCGTATTTTAAATGTAATATTTATCAATCATCATTGTGTCATATCATCTAGTTACTCATCTTGGACCCAGTGAAATTGCTCGACGTCAACATGGAGCAAATACTGTTGATGCAATAACACTAATGAACAATTATAATTATTCTGATCACGATAAATTTAGTTTGTCTGAACGAGATGCTGAAGAATTATCGAAACGATTACAAATTGGAAAGTCAATTATCACATTTAATGCCAATCAAATTCGTGGTATTTGTTATTATTTTCTTACATTGTATGAATCATTTCGAAAAAATATTGTACTTCAAAATGATATTGCCTTAGAAGAACCCATACTCACTTCGAAACAAATGGCTATTCTACTTGAATTCTATTTACAAATAGATGTGGACATATTCTATATGAAAACTTGTTCGTTCCGTGGAGCTGAACCACACGCCAACATGGAAGGTCTATTCTGTGGAAAAGATGAACCACATGCACGATATACAATGTCTCCATGTGTCAATCCATTTTGTCCATGTTGTCATCCGTCAAGAATGGGTGATAGAACACAAAATCAAGCAGAGTCAATGGTTGATTTCGATACAAGTTCGATGCATCAATTTTTAAATGGATATACAACATATCTAAATTGTCCAGCCGTATGTTTATATTATTCAAATATTTTTATTTTGCTAATTGAAATAATATTATTATTATTAAAACATTTAGACATGTAGAACATCGAATATTATTTATAGTATGACATGTCCATGTGGTTATTATGATTATGTCGATTCAACTGCAAAGACATTGGTTGATGCTATAATTTGTATGTATATATATATATATATATACCTTTGTATTTTCTCTTGTTATTTCTGATATATAGATCATCGAAAACATGGTAATAGAATAATACATGAAATGTTAACTGGTATTTCTCGATCTTCACGCACACTATTCGATTCAAACGAAAACGAGTAAGGAGGAAAAAGAAAAGATAGATAGATTTTTTTTTCCGATCATTTTATGTTCGTAATATGTTTGTTGTAGAAATAAAATGGCCAATAATATGCGTCTCTATCAACATTCAGCTCGATGTCCAATAGCACTTCGTTTGTTTCTCGATTCCAATCCGAACTATTGGTGTTTTATTCCTATGGTGAAGCATGAGGCACAAGCTGAAAATATTGCTTATGTTCGACAAGCAAGTGGAACTACCTCCTCCTCATCTTCCTTCCATGAAACAATAGGTGTTCAATTAATTAATATGATAGCGGCGTGTCCTATTGGTAGAAATCCTCGAGTGACTCATTATCTTAATCATGTACCAAAACCACCCTCGACTATCTATGCCTTTTCATGTGAACAAAAAGAAAAACAATGTTTATTTTTTGAAGAATTTCTCTCGTCATCTACTGATCACTTGTCCTATTCTCCAGTGAACTTATATAAAGTAGCAATGATTGCCGTTTGTAAGTACACACAAATTTTGGTCTATGATATTGATGATCATTATATTTTTCTTCTCTTTTTCTTTTTTGTTTATTCAACATTAATCTAGTGCCAGATGATTGTTCGATTACACTACGATACATTATTGAAACATTGTTCGTTATTCATGGTGAAACTAAATTAAATATGATTTGTCCTATTGGTGGT